ACTTTTATTGTGACACAAAATGTGTAATTTCAATGCCTGACATTCTATTTGATGATATGTACTGGAATTTGATTTCATCAGGGATATCTTTCTTTGCAGGCCCACCACACATTTGCTTCATTTATGAACTATCTTCAGGCAAATACCGGCTTTCCGATGCACTCGAAATCGAGTGTTTTGAGCCATAATTGACAAAGGTATGGGGTTTTGTAGTAATCAAAATTTTCTCTCAGCACTGATCAGCCAAATTCCAGTATCTGTTGCAGGTGGTAATCTGATGATTATGAGGGTTTATTGTTAGTACACTCACCAATATGAACCCCAAAAATACGGAAAAATATGCAGATTGGAGATCTCAAACCAAGGCACAGGATGCATATTTTTTCATATTTTTTGCTCTGTTTCTGACCTTTCCAGATTTTTGTATACAAATAATTTAATTTTCTGCCCAGAAAATGTTATGTTTCTTGTAGTGACAGAATCTTTCGGACCTGATGAAGATCACTCTACTACATCATCTGACTCATTTCCCTGAACTAGAACCACCTCATCACATCCACCTACACACCACTTTAAGCAAACTTTGTCTCACAATGACTCTTATGAGATCTATGATTGATCAGCAGAGACTGATCAAAACCTTGTTAACTTACTGTCCCAAATTACCAACCTAAGAAATTTTGAATGGGCCACTGACCGTTCACGGATGAAGGATCTTTCGTGGATCTTGGTACACATTGTCCAAATTTGGAGTGTTTTACTCTCAACCTTCCCAATTTTAAAGAGTCTTGTTGATCTCTTCATTCAACGGTGTAACAAAATAGCTCAATCCTAGGCCCAATCCCCACCGTGGCTACTCATGACCATGGCCCACAACTGATCCTTTGGACACAAAGATGGACACAGACAACATCTACGCTAGATGAGATGGATTCTGATTCAGGAAATGGGATGATTCAGACTACACCCATTTGATGGGATGTTGATTTGGTTGACAGTTTAGCGTCAAATCCACCGACATATATCTTCCCTCTCTAGCATTGGGTCCAAGAACCTATTCAGGGCGTTTGAGGGCATGCCATGCATCTCATTGACTGAGGTAAAGTTGAATAACAATCTTTTTGTTGACAATGAGCTCATGGAATCTGTTGCAAAGGGTTTGAAACACATCAAGATCTTCAAAATTGGGAGCATGAGTGGGACCAAGTTGACTGAACAGGGTGAAGAAGTTCTCTTCAACAACCCGGATGACTTGCAGGAGATTGGAATCCTTGATGTAAAAGGTAATTGCTTTTGCTTTATCACTGATATCTCTAAGTTCTTGAGTTGAGTTGGTTTCAAATGTGATCATCTAGAACTAGCTGCTGACCTTGCTGGTCTAATCTTCTGTCTTTCTCTTTGCCCTAATAAACTTGAACAACTCTCTATTAAACGTTTTTTTCCTTATCCCGCTCTGATTCCCGGTCGGCATGCAATGTACCCAGAGTTGTGTGCACAAAGTTGCACAAGTCCTAAGAAGGTGATCAAAGAACAAATCGTGGCTATAGTAGAAGAAGGAAAAAGTTCGAAGGAATTGGATATCAATTGGTGATTGATCAGAGTGAAAGGATTGGAAGCGATTCTTAAAGGTTTACCAGATCTAGTCAAGTCCTTTCCAAAGAATTGTAAGTCGTATTGTCTTGACAAGTTTTGAGAAGTCAAAGATGTGGTCTGATACACTTTCCTTTTCAGATTGGATCTACCTCCTTTGTGCACAGAAAACTGCAAGTCCTGACTGTCTCAATTCCTCCAGAACACATACCTTGTTAGTTTGATATTGTTTGTGTAGCTGAAAATACCAAGTTCAAGAAGACTCGTATGCTGATGAACATCTCTGATTTTTAACTTCTTTTACTAATCAAACTGAATCATTCTACTCCTTTTCCATTGAATGTGTTAAACCAAACAATTTGGGCTTGGTCTCTGAGTTCTCTTAGGGGATTGTTGAATGACTCATTGTCTGTGGGGATTTTACTTCTCAATCTTCTTCAAGGTTGTATCCTACATTGTGAACAACACCTTAAAATGTGTTTTTTTCTTTTCCAAATTGTTCTGATCATGCAATGCATATCTGATTTGAAGCTGAAGTAGAAACTTCAGAAGAAAGTCTACATGATTGAGAGTCAAGCTGAGGACGCTCAAGTGTCAAATCGATTGATGAAGTGTGGGGATCAGAAAGACCAATCTTATCACAAAACACAATTTATTTACATCCACTTGATTATTGTGGTGAGTAACATCAAATTTCATCATCACTAACAACCTTTAGTGATGAATTGATCCAATCTGTTTACAGGTCAATCATTGCAAGAAAAATTAGAAAAGTTGAACCTTACACAATGGAATATAAAGCCGGAGGTTACTTAATTATATCATTATCACAACTATGTTAGATCTTAAATATCAAAGGTTCAGATGTACCTAAAAATTCTTTTCTGTTTGCTTATTTATTAATTTCAATTACAATTGTTAAGCCTAAAACACTTTTTTTACATAACCCAAAATGTTGAAATTGAGAAGTTCAATAATACTTGAAAGAATTAGACATTGAATTGGAAGATTATGATAAGATTGGTGAATTTATGACATCAACGAAAATTCAAAATTATAATATAAATGAAGGATTACCCAAAGCCTGAGAAGATAGGCCCATAGTCCATTACAAGAGGTAGTCAAGTAGAAAGTGAGGAAAGAAGAGACCGGGGCTGAACCAAGGGAGAAAAATTTTCCACCCTTCCAAATTCAGAGTAGGAAAATCTTTCCTCCTCTTCTCACTTTGCTGCAGCGGTTTCTCTCTGAACCTCGCTTCACAAAATTCATTCTTCAATTTTCTATCCTAATTGCTCAGCATATTGCAGCAGAAAACATTTTTGTCAGATCTATACATTCTAAAATTATATGTGATGAACAGGGCTACAAGAGAACATATTTTTGCAGCTAAGGAGGAATTACATCAATTAGCAGAAATAGCTTGTGAAGAAGAAGCAAGGAAGGCAGCTCAGGCCAACTGGAAGAAGGCTCAAGCTCAGGATTGCGCACAGGAAGCGGCAAAGATATTATATCATCAGAAGCAAGCAAAGATGCTATCTGAAAGAGAGAAGGCTAGATCACAAGCAAGAGCTCAAGAAGACTTACTTCAGCATAACAAGACTGTCAAACAGGTCCTTAATCAAGCTGCAAAATTGAACCATAAGGAAGAAGTTGACGGAGAGGATGGAGACAGCCGAAGTGAAGAAGACGACAAAAATGAAGATAATTCTGTCTCTGAAGGACAAGTTGAGATGCAAATATAATTTGGCTATTCAAATTTGATTTCAAAGTAGGGCCGTGACCCAAGGCTGTGAGTTCAGGGCCAGTCCTGGGGCCAAATTCAGCCCTGCATGAACCCAATCCCCTTTTTCTGTTTTTATAGGTGAGTTGTGAAAAAGCAAATCAAACTGATATCCCAACAATTGACAAGAAAAAAATATTTAGTTCCATCTGATTTAACGGTTGGACTCGTACAAGAATTCAATTGGCACCTGAGAAGGTGATTTTCATTTTTGTGGATGAGGTTTTGCCTCCTACTGCTGCTCTTATGAGTGCGATTAATGAAGAACATAAGTTGAGTTTCTTCAAATTTTTTCTTTCTTTTGATTGGAGGTTCTTCTTTGGGGGATTGTCAAATGAGTTTTGGGGTTCTGACTTTTCTTTAGTTTTTTGAATTCAGTATGTGCATTGGCTTTTCTAGACAAGTGTTGTATTTTGCCTGTATAGCATCTGCATTTCACTTTCTTTTGGTTTTATTTCACTTTGTTCCATATTTTCTCATTTGGTCCCCTTGAATTCGTATGGAATTAAATTGTTTGAAGGAACCTGAATCCAATATTGTGACATTTAATTTCAAGAAGAGACCAATTTTGGGCAAGCAGTACGCGCACATTCATCACAAGCACACATGAACTATAGAGAAATGAAGAAGCAACATGAACAGAGATTGAGAATGGACATTTTTAGCAATTTTTTTAAGATGACCAAACTGATGACCACACTAAAGAAAAATCAAGACATTTTGTAATGGGATGGATTTCAACATGAACAAACTGAGGAAAGAACAAGAAAAAAGATCAAGAGACTAAGAGTCTTTCATTCTTGCATGGCTTGATCACCAACACTATCAAAGGCTTTGTCAGAGGCTACACTGGCGTCATCATCTGGGGTGTAATCACCATCCTCATCACTTTTGTCATAAAGACCCCCAAAATCACCATCATCAAAGTAAACATTGTTAGAAGCATTGTCCTCTGCATCACTTCCATCACTGGGAGCCATTAGGTCTATGGAATTGTCCATGTCTTCATCATTCACCGGTCTGTTACCAAATGCCAGACCATCGGTTTCATCTTCATCAGAATCGCCAGCACATGAGTTGATTTGGTAGGAAAGAGTTATGAAATCACGACCGGACATACTCTCCGCCAGATGAGTGTTGGGAGTGGGAATGGAAGACTTGGCGGCATGAGGTAGAAGTGCCACCTGGGTGTGCTTGACAATTTCTTCTTTCTGTGACGGTGACAGACTGTTGAACCACTTAGACTTGTAGTAATCAATAGGAAGTTGAATTGGGGGTTTCTTGAACTTAGAAGGAAGAGGCACCATTGGTAGTCTGCGAGGATGTGCCTGAAGAGCTTTGCCAGAGGTAACCACTTTGCGAGCCATCATAGAGTCTAGTCTTGGAATCCACTTGTTGGCATTGGCCAAGCGGTAGCCAAACGTCTTGATTGTGTAGACATTGTTTTCAACATCAAGCTCGTCTTCGCTGTGTGCGTAAGGTTGCTCTAATATGGGCTGGTAACGTTGGGAGAAGTTGTTTTGTTCGGCAAAAAGGGATCGAGTTTTGGTGAGCTGAGAATTTGTAAAATTGATTTGATGTAAGTGGGAATGTGATTAACGGGAGTGTTGTGATATAATTGAAGAGACTTGCCATTCTACAACATTGAGACATAGTCTTGAGCTCTTCAGCCACAGCCAATCACCCTGGACGGTTGAGCTCCATCTTGTACTTGGAGGCCAAAAGGTAATGGACATAATGATCATATGCCTTGGTAAGAACATCAATTTTGTTCACAAAATCAGGGTTAACTTGAAGGTATTGGTAACAAGGGCCAACTGCGACATCTTGGAAGGTTGCATGTTACCTTAGTCTTCTCAAATTCCGGCGGATATTTGGCACTAAAGACTTGATGAGGTCGTCTTTGAGGAGGACTAGTAGTAGGCTTAGCCGGAGGCGGCCTGGCATGTGGTGGTAACTTGGATGAACTGCTGAGAGGCTCCGAAGCCAACCTGGTGGGAGCTCGAGCCGGTGTACTAGTACTAGGATTTTGAGCAGCTGATTTCTTTGATGAATTGGGTTTGGTTTGAGAGGTGCTGGTAGGTTTATTGATGTCTACGCCTCCCAGCTTAGGCAGCAGCTTCTTGATAACTAGGTCTCGGGGATGGCCATCACAAAAGGAGTTCTATCACTGCCACACAAAGGTTTCATTTCAACATACCCTGATCTGATCTGACTGTGAATGGTGTGGGACATTGACAGACAATGAAGAAAATTCAATGATAACATGCAAAATCCAAAGGCATATGGCAATTTGGTTGTATTAGGAGACCTGTCACTTTGAGCCTGCTTTAACTAGTTTTTGACTTTTAGATTAAGTTTGGATGCAACACACTGATGAAGAATTCTGTTGTGAACTGTTGCAACGGCTGTGCTTTGGACAATTCCGCGAAAAATTGTCAACAATAATCCTGCCAATCATGTCTGTAAGAAGAGAGCTGTGTGCATAGGCGTGCATATCCTAGCGGCTGAAGTGCTAGCCGCTAGAAAATTTTGCAACCCTTTGAATGCTCCCCAAGTGTTTCAGCACAAGAAATCAAAACTTTGATTGTGGGAATTTTGATTAGAATTTAGACTGATTACACAAGAAATAAGCACATATCAAGATCTTGAAAAGGTTATAGTTGAAGATCAATTGTTTGAATGAAATGACTCAAATTGGTTATTTACCAATGGGGTCGAGGTGAATGACCAATTGACCTTGAAAGTTTGAGAACTCAGTCAATAACTGCAAGAGATCCATTGAAATATGTGTGTGTGTTCATTTTGAGTTTGAGCCTTGTGTTTGAGAGGAATTGATGTCAGGTAAACAACGCAAAGCCATCTCTTTTGTGGCAGTTGGGTCCATATTTCTGCGTAAGAGATCTACAATCACCGCCTTGAGTTCTTCATACCAAGGACGCTTACGTAGAATTTTCTCTGTTGAAGTAAAGTCAGACAGATGGTAATGATAATCAAACTCATCATTGAAGGCACATACCCTGAAGACTACCCTGATTAACACCTTTGTTATTACGTCCTTCTTCCTTAGCTGATTTAAATCTGTCAATTACATCCTTTGATAGTGTAGATTCAAACTTTTCACCATTGTGATTATCCTTCCCAGTTCCCTCTCTCAAGTCATGAGCATCTTTGAACCACCCTTCAAGCTCCTTGATCTATGTAACAAGATGAAAGTAACAAAAAGATGATTAGAATAGGAATTTCAATACTTCATCAAAGCCACACTCACCTTCCCTATGCACTCTTGACCGGGTCTGTTTGGATGATGCTTGCTTGCAAGTTACTCTGCCACCTTCTCACAAAGCACAGCCTGCTTCTATGTGCGCCAAGCATTGTAGTTTTTGTATACACTGCACCACTCCACAATAATATCATATCCGACATGCCATTGTTACTTTGAGGTATCAACCAGCTTCTTTGATTGGTTTCCTGATTGATTTGCTGGTCATCTCGAGTTTGAAGTTCATTTTGATTTTCACAATCAGAATCAGGTTGAGATAGACAACGCAAATTTCCAATTTTGAGAGTTGTTTCCTTTGGAGGTTGTTCTTGAGGCTTCTTGCGTGGGTTAGGGGTGGCTGTACAAGTTATAGCTTGGTTGGTTGATTCTGGTGTCAGAGAATGTGAGACGGTATTGAGTTGTTGCAGGTGAAACCAGTCCGACGGCGAGAGGGTTGGGACTGTGACAGCTGCTGGACTTCCACTGATGTTTGCTTCAATTGCATGCAATTGATTTCCTTCTTTTGTAGCTGGGTCAACATTTGATGTTGTTACAGTGTTGAGGGGATCATCCATGGAAAAGTGTGATAATTTTGGAAACACCAAGGGGTAGTAGTCAGTAGTGTTGGTCTGAGCAGCTGCGCCTTCAACAAGTCTATCCGCCAAGGAGTCCAACACGTTGTAGAACTCCTACGCAGTGTAGCGTAGGCTGAGCCGGAGAAGGTAAGAATCACCGCTTAAGAGAGCGGATGAAACTACGGGTGCTGTTACGCTGCCTTCAACCTTAAATCTAGTTGCAGTTCGAAAAGAACTAGAACAACTCTTAACAATTTCCTGTCCCTACAATTTTCTCCTGTAACACTTTTTAAAGTTTATAGCCAGATTTGCAAGGTTTGCCGGACTCCAATGATACCACTCACAACTCTACACAACATTGTGGTGTGAAACTATGTTGATTTCGATGTAAACACGGCTTCAAACGCACATGTAACATGTACAGGGCCAAAAATGAAGTTTTGGACCCCGACTTGACCCGGCCTTGACTTGGATCAAGAGGCGGGTTATTGGTTTTTGTTTTAGTCCTGCATCTGACGACTTCACGACTAGTTTGCAACACAGCTCAGCAACAAGCAAAATTAAAGACATGAACAAATCAACACTCTACACCGAGTACTCTAAACAACACTTTAACACTACAATTCTCTCTTTTAATAAGGTAAGCTCCTATTCTTTCTTTTCTTCTTTTCCCTTTCCTTCAAACTGATTCTTGACTGAACTAACTAAAACCCTTTCTTTTCTTCTAACTCTTTGAAACTAGGTTGCTCGTGCACAATCTCTTTTTCAAACACAATACACTCAAATCAAAACACTCAAACACTTTTACTCGATCACAAGAACATTCACACTTCGATGCGAACACCAAGACACTTTTAAGAAACACACACACCCCCTCAGACACGAACACTCAGATGTGATCCAATCCGATACCCTCCTTCTTATATCTTTCAACTGCCCAAGCTCCGACCGATTCCTCCTATTCCACCTGATTGATTCTGACCGATTGCTTTCTTTTACTTCGCTCCGACCGATTCTGTTTTAACTCCTTCCCTTGTTACACCTCTAATCGACGGATATGTTTGTTAATTTAGCCCCTATTTGACTTGATTGTTTGGTTTCAAACCCAGGTATGTTTATTTTGTTTGGTTTCCTGTTCTTCTTTTGTTTTGTTTACTTCTGATTCAACTAATCAATACCTTTCTTCTGATACCCGTATGCTGATTGCTTTGCTTTTGATCAATCACCGAGATCTTTTTGATTTGGTTCCGTTACCTCCGATTGCTACAGATCGATTGTTGTTTATCTTTCTCTTAGTGTTCACCTGACTGCTTTCTTTGTCTCCATTTTGTTTTCTTCTCTTTTTTTACTTATCTTATGTTTTGTTTTGTTTCCTATACTTTTTTTATTTTGTTTACTTTATTACTTTGGCTTTGATGTAGGACAGTTGTCTCTGTAGATTTTGAATGAAATGATAAAATAAAATGAATTAAATTTAACTAAAAAATTTCTCTGCTCTGATTCAGAACAAGCTATTGCGAGTGATTGTGAGTAAAAAAATTGAACTCTTTGAGCAAAATCAAATGTATAAAAAGGATGAGTTTGGAGGAAGTTTTGCTTTCCACAACGTCATCTGTTAAGGAGTCCAATGCATCATCCACAGCTTTCCGTTCCCAGTTTGAATCATCTGATACATCATCCACAAATGCATCTAACACAGCATCCACTGATTGTGTCATTGTTAGGAAATTGTAAGTGTACCCGTTGTTGGAGATAATTTTGATGTACTATGGAGGAAAAAAGAGGCAGGGGAAAGATGTTGTTGTTTTCCACATGGCTTACCCTTTGAATACACAGTTCCTTTCTCTAGGACAAAAATTGATTTTGTCAGTGGGTATGTCATGAGGGTCACTGTGCATCATCTCACCATCAATATTCCAAAGTTGCCGTGGGCCAAAGATCACTAAACTTTTGGAATACTGATCAGGATGATTGATTGGTCCATAGTCAATAATATGAATTTCCGAGACCTAAGATTTACCGTTGGTCAGAGTAAATGATTGAGACCATGGAACTTGAAGGATCTTTTGCACGACATCTTTCATACATCTTTAAATTTGTCATGCCTTTGACCTTAAAGAGATTCCCATAAATGCTGCATACTCAGTCGGAGTGGAAGTCAAAGTAAATTTCTTTGAAGGTCTCACCTTTGGAAGAGCTTTGAATCTGGAGTCATTTCGATTGGGTATTTTGTCTTGATTTCTATTTTCATCTTTCATTCAAATTTTTCATTTTTTGTTTTTGAAGTTTCAGTTTAGGTTTTGATTTTTGATCTGATTTTGATTTTTCAATTTTGGTTTTTACAAATTTTTGACTAATTTTCAATTTTTAATTTTTGGGTTATCATCATTTTTGATTCCTGATTTCTATATCAACTTATTTTTTCCCTTCTTATTTCTTAATTCATGTTCTTTTGTTGGGATATTTCAATTTTGAATTTTGAATTTTTAGTTTTATAAAAAAAATGCATTTCAAATACAAGGAAACATTGGTCAGAACTGTCCGAGGTTTTCCTTACTCTCAGTCAGAGCTGTCCAAGGTTTTCCTTACCCTCAAAAACTCACAGCCAAGATATCCTCAAAAGGGATTGGCCGAGCTGAATTAAACTTGGATAAGAACGGCCAACAATATAATTTTGTCGGTCTATTCTAATTACATTGGATAAGCCATTCTGTGTTGGACTCGGAGAGGACTGTCCGATGGTAATCCACGATAGTACCTTGGAGACAAATTGGCCAAAGGTATATATCATCGGTTGTGCTCGGCCGAGTTCAGCTTGGTTCAAAGATCTCCTTGGTAGCTGAATGTCCAAGATATCCTCAACAAAAGTGACCGCCGTAACATCGGATATTTGCCTTGGTACACAGCTACCTGATGAACACTCGGACACAACTGTCCGCTGTTAACTGGGTACCCAGAGCCAAGGATAATATGTTGGCGGTGCTGTATGCTCTGAGAGTTGCTTTACCATTGGGAACTTTTTCTGTGGGTAACTATTCATCTGAATCAGCTCCTTGGTTTTTGTATTTGACCAAATATAATATAACATCTTTGTTATCTTTATCCTTAATTCTTTTTTCTGTTAGTATCTTAAGGAACTTCTTTTCTGTCTCTGGAGTAAATTTAGGTATAATTGTTTTGCTTTTCTGGTGGAATTTATTTCCTTCAGGACAGTGATACTTTTTTACAAGGGACACTGGAAATACAGGATGTTTCCTTTCCATGTCACCTGTTAGTATTAGTTCTACCACATATGGTCCTATTAGCCTAGAGATAACAAAAGGTTTGACAAAGAGATCTCTTAGTTTCTTACACTACAAGAAACATAACATTTTCTGGGCAGAAAATTAAATTATTTGTATACAAACATCTGGAAAGGTCAGAAACAGAGCAAAAAATATGGAAGAATATGAATCCTGTTCCTTGGTTTGAGATCTCCAATCTGCATATTTTTCCGTATTTTTAGGGTTCATATTGGTGAGTGTACTAACAATAAACCCTCATAATCATCAGGTTACCACCTGTAACAGATGATGAAATTTGGCTGATCAGTGCCGAGAGAAAATTTTGATTACTACAAAACCCCATAACTTTGAATTCCTGGCTCAAAACACTCTT